GGGGGGGGGAGAGGATCAGTTCCAAGGAAAGAACAAAGAAATAAAATCAATAGATTCTTTTTCCCTTTCAATTTTTTTGGGTTCCTTAGGATGTTCACATTTTACTTACCAACTTAGCAACCAGTTAAATTGACAACACACGTTGTTGAATAAATAAATTTTTGTATTATTATTCCATATTCATCTCACATTTTACTAAATCATCGAAGCTTATTCAGTTTGCCCTAAGTGTACCTGCAGTAGCTAGAACTATTCCCCACATCCGTATTTTCATAAATTCTTAAAAAAATTCTGAATAATTAGTTCATCCTGAAAGTAGTTGCTATTTTCGGTTTATCTGTTTATTGTTGAACACGAATATCTGGCATTCGTAGCAAATTTAAACTTAAAGGAGTAGTTCCATAAATTCGTCGACTGAGAAACCACTGCCAACTACTGCAATTAAATGCAATGTTCAGATATGAGTTCATGCCTAAAGTTAAACAGGTAGAAATGCTTGAAGTCGAATTTTAATTTAATCACTTTAATTAATTGATTTAAGTTGCAAGTGAGATATTATTGGTTCAATTGATGCACACTATGCGAGTGGGGTGATTGACCAAATTGATTGATCCCCGACTACTCAAAGCATGATTTTCTTAATAATTGAGCATCAATGAGAAAACCGTCTTCTAAAACTGCGAGTCACAAGTGTGACACAAGGTTTACATGTGCATAAATTAGCACTTTTAAGAAACACTAGCCTACGCAAAGGAAAGTTGAAGACAAAATATCCTTCACCTTGGTTAACTACTAATTCATCCTAGTAATTGCATACTATTAATTGAGAGTAAAAATCTTGGTTAGGTTAAATTATGTCTATTTTACTGCCTCCACGCATACTATCTCACAATAGAAAATAAGATAATATTTTTAACATAAAATTAAATTCAAGGAATGCGGTAATAATAAACTAATTCACAACTCGAGTAAATCGTCGGGTAATGGCTTAGAAGCCAATAAAAATCTTTCATAGAATTCGTACTACACGTACTATACTATGCGAACAATGTGTGCAAACAGGGAGAGAACAGTTTTGGTTCTTGTGGTTTGTGGAAATCCTTCTTAACTGATTCCCATCGATTGAGCAGCGGTGATTTTTTTTCGCTAAATCTACCACTGTCACTGACGTCTACTTGTTATTGTCCATAAAAAGAGTGACATGACCAACCACGGAAATACAAGACACAATAAATAAGTACTGAATATATAGAGCACAAAAATCTGAGATTCAAATGATCAAGACTCAATATATCTCAGTCTTTTAAGAGCGAAATTTTATCTATTTTGAAGGCATAGACAAAAAGTATGCTGCAACTTCAAGTAAAGTATGACATTAATGTCCTGACCACAATATGTGCTCATTGTTGACACCTTAAGTGAGAACCCTCTGTATACGTTTTCAGACCCTCTTATCCACCTGCTCCCTTAATATTAATCCTTGGAAAAGTTGTTTGTAGCGCCATGGATTTGAAGGGGTCAGCAAGATTATTAAAATTATATATATGTGGAAGTCTATTGTTATAAACTAAGCTTTGTATTGGGCAGAATGTCGAGTTAAACTCCAGATTTATTTTAAATAATCTTAATTTCACCTTGACCCTATTAATAACTTATTTCAGTCTCCTTGATGTTGAAGGTTCATTTTCTAGTCTGCCTTAAACTGCTTTAAATTTGACCAAAGTCTCTGCACATTCTGTCGTAGACTTTTAAACCTTACCTCTATCCCTTCGAAGGATTCGCCCTGTTCTTTTTTTAAGTTTTAAAACCCCTTCAGTTATATTTTGAACTTTAAAGATTTTTTTCCCATACTCGGTTTTTTTTACAGAACGGTGCTTTGAAGATGATGAGGTCGTTCGGGATTGTATACTTAGCTGGCCAGTCAGCAACGAAAACTTGATCTTCTTTGAGGAACGCCAAGATCTATTTGGTATCTTTGAAGATCCACAGGTGAATAGTTTTCTTACAATTTTTTCGTTTATAAATCAAAAAAACATGGGTGAATGCATTGAAAATTTAATTGCTAATGCTGCACTATTCAATGTACTGCAATTTTATTAAAGTACGTGTGTAAGGCGCCAGTAAAATTTTTAAAGAAATGTCAATAATTAACATTTATGTATTGTTTTAAAACAAACACCTCTTAAAATACGAAATATCAGACATTTCTATTGTCCTTAGAAATATTTGTTTACGAAGTACTGAATCATTCTGTATTCTGTTGGGGGGTTTTTATGAAAAGGTTTTCTTTTCCCTTCTAATAATTAATTTTTTTGTTTTTCAATGCTATAAAGTATACATTGTTTTTCTCATTTTTAACAAAGACCTGGCTTGGTAACACACTGACTGGTGATTGCGCACAAATGAAAACTTCACTTCTCATTGTAAGTTTTGCATCTTTCATATATATATATATAATCTTGTTATTTATATAATTTAGGATATTCTTGAAAAGGATGGTTCGAATCGACTGCCGCCCTTCAAGGATTACTTATACATTCTACAACCGAATAACAAATGGAAGCGACGATACTGCGTTCTTAGAAGTTCTGGACTCTATGCCTCGAAGAAATATGGAACTGAGGTGAGCTAGATCTCTAAGATGCATTTTAAATAAGCGAGAGACATTGACAACCTGGAATACAATCCAAGCTTGCTATTCGTTTGCAACCTAACAGATCCTCAGAATGAAGTGGGGGGAGGGTTATTAAAGCAATCCTGTGCCATTTAAAGGGAATTTCGTAGCTTCGAATATCAAAAACGAAACTTTCTTGTTTCTATTGCTGATAAGACGAATAGATTAATTTGAATGTAATCCTAATTTATCCTAGTACATATTTTCTACCAAATGACTAAGAGACCACAATGGCACTATCTAACTTTAGTGCACAATAAAATAATTCAACTCGATTTGCACTGCATTATTTAAAATGAACAAGCCTAAAGCAAAATTTAAGCATATATTCTGCCTCTATAGCCTTTGCAGTTTACGTTTTCAAAATAATTACGCCCTACCTCACAGCATGGAGGCGAAAAAACCTCTAGGTGGGAGCTCCAGAACATCATCTCTTTTTGGCATAAAGGCGGGCCAGGAGGGGGGGGGGGTTGGAGATTTCCAAAGATAAAACTTTTGTTTTGCATTTTACTAGAAATAATGATCACCAATAGACTGTGTCTGTGAACAAAAAAAGAAAATGCTGATATTAAATGTAAAATATCAACTCATCTAAGCGAAGATTAGGGCAGTCTTTCACATGCATCATTTATCGAATTTCGATAGTAATGTAATTTGGGGAAAGAATAGCACATTTCATTAATGCCAATTAAGACATCACAATTGAACTACGAGTCAATGCTTCCTAAATGCATGCATTACTTAGTGATTAATGATAATCCAGAGAAGAAGAGGAAGACGGTTACTTTAAGAGAAACCTACGGGAACAGCTTTTCTTCCAATAGCTTAATAGTACTTTCAATTGTTTTATCCTATCTTGGTAAATTATCTTCCGTCAATGAAGCTGACATTTTTCACTAGTCCTCATCAACGAACCTCGAGAATGTAAGTTGTTCTCTCATTTTTATATGCGCATTTGTATGCAAGAATTTTCAAAAAAAATATAAAAATGCCTTCTATTTGTGCATCTGTGTGTGTTATAAGCATCCGACTTAATTTATTTTCATTTTTATTTACTGTTACGACTATCAATCTTTCAAGTGCATACGCGCAGTCAGTCATAACTTGTCCAGGCATCTGGTATGCCATGCGGATGATTCAATGTAAAAATACCGCATTTTTAATACATAAATGTTGAATTATTTATTGTAGGTCTCGGAATTAGTGAGAATTACGGCATTTGGTGAACATTTACACCTATACACAACGAGTGGGGGTTGGAAAAAGGATAATACACCAACACCCTACGGATTTGTACTTAAGGTAACATTCAAACCACTTCACCTATTAAAATATGTCATCACTTTTTTACCTTAAACTTTTGAAAATCACTTATTAGATTTGTATGAACATGTTCACTTCAAATGGCAGGCGTTTTGATAGTTATCACTAGCCCTTTAGTTGACTTAGGGTATCATAGAGAGGAGGAGGAACATCAAATTAACAGAAAGTAAGGAGGATGGGGAACAGAAGAGTGATTCACAGATCTAAAAGGCAGAGGAAAGGTAAGATGAGTACTGTGGAAGTGTACGAATATGACATACAGTGGGATCATGTTCGTTTGAGTCAGAAGTTAACTGCCGGTTTGTCATTTTTGTCGTATGAGTATACGTTGCCTAGGGTGCACCACGTGGAGGCAAGTCTATCGCACACCCTTACATGAATATAGACATAATTTAAACCGGCCATAAGCTTGAATATGAATTCAGTGTTTCCGTAGACGTATATTTCCTTAATAAAGTTTTGATAAAATCAATTAAGGGGTAATTTCATTTTGCCAAATAGGGGGTGAGTAATTGTCGTCTCTGCGAAATTTCATCACTTTGTTACCAGTCCTAAACACCGAATGGCACCTTCGTATTCCTCTCATCTTCAATCTCAAAGCTAACTAATTAAACTAACAATTGGTCTAAATTGATAGATAAGCAAGTAGTAGTTTCCGTGTCATCTAGGAACAAGCAAATATATTTATTTATTTCAAATGGCAGGCTTTATGATAT